ATTAAGTTATGCAGATCGTGCATTATGATAATATTATTAAGTTATATATGTAACTAATATAATATGTATCGATCATAATGTTTGTATTGATCTAGTGATAATCATTATTATTATTCTTATTTGAACTTCAGCTTATAAATAGTTCCTCATAGAGCCTTAAATACAACATCTACAACAAAGTATCTTATTGTATATATATATATATATATATATATATGTATAAACTGCGTCTCTTTGTCATTACGCATATTAACTCTATGCAGCTTATTATTATTGCTCGTTCCACAATATCTCAGCCTTTTTTTTTTTGGTATCATTCATTGGGAGTAATCCTTTTTTTCCATTTTAAGAATAACTGTGGTCTTTCGAACGACCAAAAATTGACTGGTCGTCCAATTTTTTTTCCTGGTGTCACTATTACCTGCTAAACCCACATAGAACCAACAAAAAACCAAACACTGTCTATTGAGTAAAAGTGACGACAGGGCTGAAAACAACGAAGTGTAAAAACGCTCCTAGGTGGGCTTGAACCACCAACCTCCTGATTAACAGTCAGACGCGCTAGCCAATTGCGCCATAGAAGCTGTCTTGCTTTATAGTGACAAAGTACATACTTAGTCAATTAAAGCTACTGTGCGCACCACAGCATGGCTTACCTTCTGGTTGACGTCAACCAGAAATAGCAAAAAGCCCAAAAATCATATTTTTGAAAAAAAAATAGATATTATTGATCAGAAAAACGTTTAAAATTTTTCCAAGAAGGTACATGATGCTTTTTATCTTAGTAAAATTGAGAGATAATAGTTGATGTATTCCATATAAAAGTTGAGCATCTTCTTGAGCCAATAAAATGAAAGAAGTAAGCACAATTAAATTCAGCCCGAGTCCGTCTAGTGCTTTTAAGCTCTTGAATAAAATTTTCAAAGTAAAAAAACAGTGTAAACAGCTTGCACTGAGTTGAATTACACATGCTTTTGGTGTCTGACTTGGAATTTTTTATTTTTCAAGCCTATAATCTATCAAGTGAAACAAAAAATAGATGTCGTATTTGCCTGTTAACTTGTATATGTTGTACAAGTTACATTGAATACAGATGACGTTGGATAGCTATTGTAACTCAGACTTTCTATTTAATATTACATGGATGAATTTGTTATGGGCTCTCTCTCGAATTGAATAAAGAGTAACTAAGAGACTCATTCTATACATAAGACTATTTTTCTTGATTATTTTATTTTGATATCGCCCATACCACATTTTTTTGAATGAACACCTCTGAAAACTCTAATCTTGAAAAACAAACCCAGGGTCTCACCCTCAATGACCATACCGAGTCAGTCAACGCTTCTTTCTCGTCCGTATCTCCTTTGTGGTATTAATGTTACGAGCAGTTATAGAATAAAATAGTCTTGAACGAGGAATGAGTCTCTTAGTTACTCTTTATTAAATTCGAGAGAGAGCTCATAACAAATCATCCATGAAATATTAAATAGAAAGTCTGAGTTGTAATAAACTAGCCAACGTCATCTGTATTCAATGGAGTCTTGTACCACTATACAAGTTATTATGTCAAATACGACATCACCCGCCACCAGATACATAGCACATTGAAGACTGTAAGACATATTTTAAACTGTCTTCTTACCGTGAAGGCGTGTGCTTCTTCTTATACCAATCTTGGAGGAAGAAGCAGCTTTCTTATTACTATTTCTCCTTCTAGTCTTAAAAGGAGAAGCAGCTTTCCTTAGACGCTCCGCAATTGGAGTCTTTGGAGAAGAAATACCCTTTTTAGTCGGTAAGGCTTTGCTTATGGAAACTGCCTTTGTATCAACATCAGTGTCAACTTTGGCGTTTTCTTCTATTTGTAATATCTGATCCAAATCAAAGTCCATTTGATTCAGAGTCTTTGTAACAGTACCAAAACTTGCGTCTCCAGCAGGAGTTCTACCCGATGGTGCATTGGTAGTTACACTGTTCTTTTTGGGTTTGTATGGTTCACCCAATCGTTTCCAATATTTACGGATGATATTTACGTCATTAAACTTGTCTGTAGGAACCCATTCATCCCAGTCACTACTATAATTCTTCCAGCGAACTAAGTATTCACGTTTTCTCACTGGTCCTCTATGATCTAAAACAGCTTCAACATCATAACTTTTTTCCAAGTTATTATCGTTATCTTTATCAATAACTTCTTCTCTTGAAACTAATTTAAGTTCATGTGGTGCATAGTCACGATCCATGAGCACACCTGTCTCATCTCTAAGAACATAACTACCACCAGTGCGTTTCCTAACAACTGTGTATGGACCTTCATAGATAGGTGTCAAGTTACCATCACTTGTTTGTAACCTAACCATGACATGAGAGTCGGGAGAATAATCAACAAGTTTATGCTTCTTGTTAAACTTGCCTTCCTCAAGTTTCATCTGAGCAGCATTCTTTTCAATGATTGCTGGAAATACAATATCTGACATGTAGTTAACTCTCTTTAATAACTCATCAATAGTCATGTGAGCCATGTTAACTCTACTCTCATGTTTATGTTGCAGATCTTTGACGTCATTTAATTTCCTAGCAAACATAAGTGAAAAAGGTGTACTATTCAATCTCTTTGAAATTTGATTATTCAGAGCCAATTGAATTGATGGTAAGAAGTGATCCCAATTTTTACCAATACCTCTTGTTGCTTTAGCCAACATTTTCTTGGTACTTTGCACATATCTCTCTGCTAACCCATTAGCACTAGCTTTCAAAGGAGTGATGAATCGATGTTCCACACCCATTGCATCATTAACATCCTTTATAATAGCATTAGAGAATTCAGTTCCATTATCACTCTGTAGAACTGCAGGATAACCAAAAATAGAAAATACATCCACTAAGGCTTGTGCAACTACCGTAGCTGTCTTCTTGAAAATAGGTTTCAAGATACAAAATCGTGTACAGACATCCACCATAACTAAGAAGTAATTCGCACCTGAATCATTCTTTATGGATGATGGACCTTGACCCAAGTCAATAGCCCAATGATCTCCTGGTACATAAGCATAAATACTTCGCATTGGCAAGTATCCACGTCTCGTGATATTATGCTTCTGGCATTGACTACATTGTCTAACAAACTCGATTGCATCATTAATCAAGCGTGGCCAGTGGAAACCATCTGCATGTAACTTTTTAACAATTTGTTCAGCACCGTAATGACCAATCTCGTCATGAGCTTCTGTCAATAAAGCTCTACGGTCGTGTTCTTCAGGAACAACTCTGTCAGGTATGATAGCTTGATCTGACTGAACATAAAATAATTTTCTGTCATTGGCTTTAGGACAATCAGAGACAAATTTACTGATAATAGGATTATTGAGTTTCTTCAAATTCATCGATTGAGTAATCGCCTTATTCTTTATATACGGGACATAATGTTGCAACTTATCATCACCCTCCACCAGACTTTTCTTATCCGATTCAAGAGGTTCAAAAAGTCGACTTAACCGATCAGGTAAAACATTCTTCAGTCCTGCAATATGAACTACATCAAACGAATAGTCCAAGAGAATATCAAGCCATTTCTCCAACATATAGTTGGTATGACGTTGCGTCATGATATAAGAAAGAGACTTATGATCACTGAGCAGCATTATTCTATGACCCCAAATAAACTTGTGGAATTTAGTTAAACCATAGACCACCGCAAGCAACTCACGCATCGTAACACTCCATCGTTGTTCAGATGGTGTTAAGGA